ATGAATTTAACACTTTGCAGTGAGGATGGGTGAATACCTGTATTAACCTTATCTTTTATTTTCTGCATTCTGATTCTTTGACATCAGGGGCCTTGCTAACTCTGGAGGGGCTGCCTCTCAAAGGGTTAGCTAATTCTTAGCAAAGATATTCCTGGATGTAAATAAAGAAAAGCCAGTGAATGTGCTCTTCAGATGCAAACCAATCAGTCTAGAGCTCACATCTTCAACCATCTCTTTGACAGGTTCTCATCCTCTGGGCCACTATCCACCTCCCGTTATCACCCCAGAGGCAGATGCTAGAGAACTGGGAATCACTCCTATGCCCCAGGGGCAACTGAAATTATTCAAACTAATCATCCTGTGCCTCCTTATCCCCCTCTCTCTACCTGCTGACTGACTCTGGTGCTTCCCATGTAGCCCACTGTGGTATTATGCAGGGACCCCTTCCCCTGTACTTGGGAGCTGCAGTCAACAAAGTACCATTTCAATGGCATCTCTTGATCTCTTAGTCTCAACAACACCTAATTAGTAGACCCAATTAAAACAAAGCCTTGTAATTATATGCATTACAGTAATATTTAACATAATTTATAAAGCAAATAGGCTTAAATGGCACCTTGCAAAAGGATAAGGAATAATTGTTCCCCAGTTAAGGTTTTTTCTTAATTTTTTATTGTTCAGTTATAGTTGTCCCACATTTTCCCTGTTGCTCTCCCTTTTCCACAACACGCGCCCCCGCACCGTCCACTGCTCCCACAGTCAATCCCCACTCCATTATCCAAGTTCAAGTATCCTTGTTACATGTTCCTTGACTTGCCCCTTCCCTTTTTTTCCCCTGTTATCTCCCTCACCCCACCCCTCTGGTTACTGTCATGTGTTACTTACTTCTGTGTCTCTGGTTCTATTTTGTTCATTTATTTGTTTTGTTGATTAAGTTTCACTTATAAGTGAGATCATATCATATTTGTCTTTCACCCTCTGGCTTATTTCACTTAGCATAATGCTCTCCAGTTCCATCCATGCTATTGTGAACAGTAGGAGCTCCTTCTTTCTTTCTGTGGCATAGTATTCCATTGTATAAATGTACCAGTTTTTTGATCCACTCATTTACTGATGGGCATTTAGGTTGCTTCCAGCACTTGGCTATTGTAAATACCGTTGCTGTGAATTGGGATGCATAGGTTCTTTCGAATTGCTGATTCAGGATTGTTAGGGTATAATCCCAGCAGTGGAATCACTGGATCAAAAGGCAGTTCCATTTTAGGTTTTTTTTGGAAATTCCATACTGTTTTCCACAATGGCTGCACCAGTCTGCATTCCTACCAACAGTGTACTAGGGTTCCCTTTTCTCCACAACCTCACCAGTACTTGTTGTTTGTTGATTTATTAATGATGGCCATTCTGACTGGTTTGAAGTGATATCTCATTGTAGATTTAATTTGCATCTCTCTGATGGCTGGTGATGTTGAGCATCTTTTTATATGCCTATGGGCCATCTGTGTGTCCTCCTTGGAGAAGTGTCTGTTCAGGTCCTTCGCCCATGTTGTAATTAGATTGTTTGTCTTTTTGGTGTGGAGTCATGTGAGTTCTTTTTATATTTTAGAGATCAAACCCTTGTGTGAGGTATCATTGGCCAAAATGTTTTCCCATAGGATTTGTTTCCCTTTCATTTTGTTGACGTTTTCTTTAGCCATGCAGAAGCTTTTTAAGTTAAAGTTTTAAGAATTATTGTCTATCATTGTAGACATGTTCTAATTGTTTGAATAATCATAAATAACATCAATTTCTGATGAAATGTAAATATGTATTTTTAAATATAGAAGTTACAGCATGTGCCCACTTTAAATCCACATATCACAATTCTAAGGTTTGTAAAGAGAGTAACCAGACTAATAGTAACAATACTCTCCATACAAAATAGGACATCTTCACCAACCCACTGTGTACAGAGTCAATAACTGAATGAGAAAGCCACCAGTGTGTCTCTCAAATTACAGCAACATCCTTTCTGTCCACAGACATTTGCTCTTAATTATGGCATCAACCCATTGTGGAAGCAATCTTCTTTTTGATGGATTGGACCCTAACTTGTTTCACACTAATTCTGAGAAAAGGTCTAAGAATGTCACATTTTTTACTGCATTAACATCATCAACTAGTTCTCTTAGAAAGACCTGAACCAGCAGTGTGAGAGATAAGCATGTCGTTAAGTGATGAGCTTGAGACTGAACTGAACCATTACTAATTGTTCTGCAAATGGTAATAGCAGAGAAGTGGCTGGACCATTTTTACAACCACCCTGTTATGTTACATTATGTGTGTTTCCTGTCTCCCCTGACTAGCTTTGTCATAAACAGTGGTGACTTTCATAAATTACATAATTACCAGTTATTTTTAAATATTGTATTAATTATAAAAGGTTACCCCCAAAGCTCTAATTGGAATGTTGGTGGTAAATGGGGTAATTCAGCTTCTAGCAGGATAATAGGTTGAAGCTATGAGTGAAACAGTGTCTGAACCTTCTACTTTAGCTTTACTTATGCTTTTTATAATTCTGATTATTTTGATATTGCTTACTAGATCTGCTGCTTCACTTATTTGAAGGATGGATGCCAAGAAGCAATCAGTTTAAAAAACAAATGTATGAAAGAAAAATTATTTTGGCTTTCATTTTCTGGTATCAACATCATGCTTTGTTTATAGCATAGCATAGCATTATAGCATAGTCTCATCTACAGGAAACCAATAAATTTGAATAACAAAATAGGAAGTTTCACAAAGGCAGCTGTGAAAGTATTTAATGGTGTATTTGTAGTGCTGCATACTTACCATTTCAAAATAGAGAAATATTAGTTACGTATTTCTTTAGTTGAATTTATATGCTGAGTTTGATTTTCAAATAGCTGTGATACTTACTTTATACAATCAGATAGAATTCTCCTCAGTGAATTTTAATATACCAATAATTTCACTGAGTAAAATGTGAGTATATCTATGACCAAGAGGGACATTTGTTAAGATGAAAATATCAGAATAATTTTTTAAATTATAACTTTTTGATTTAAAAGGTATAGTAATAAATAGTAATTTTATTATTGAAAAAGATTTCCTGTGTAACTCAAAAAGTGAGTTTAAGTGCCCTGCCTGGTGTGGCTCAGTGGATTGAGCACTGGCCTGTGAACGAAAGGGTCACCAGTTTGATTCCCAGTCAGCGCACGTGCCTGGGTTGAGGGTCAGGTCATGTCCCAGTGGGGGACACACAAGAAGCAACCACACATTGATGTTTCTCTCCCTCTCTTTCTCTCTCCCTTCCTCTCTGTCTAAAATCAATATATTTTTTAAAGTGAGTGTAAAAAAATAAAAAATAAAAAGTGAGTGTAAGTGAAGTGTTCAGTTAGTCTTCTGAAAAGACTATAATTTAAAGCATTCATTACTTTTATGGTTTCTGAAATCTCCTTCCTATAGTTGTAAACTAAATAAAAATCACATAATCTATATTTTTAACATTATTTTTTGTTTTCAAAAATTCTACAGAAACTCTGTGTTGAAATTGTAGCTAATTTACTTGCAACATCTTCTATGCTGAACATAAAGATTCCAAGGTCCTTATGAAGGTTGCTATGTATTTTCATTTAGTATAAAATTCTGCTTAATATTCCAAAAGAACCTTAGTCATTCAAGAAAATCTAGTTCATGAGCTGAGTAATTAAGACTTAATTTTATTACTGCCTAGGGTATTTGTCTGAGAAGGCAGTTTTCACTTGGGTTTGTTGATGTATCAGCCTCCAGAAAAGTCAGAGTGAACATGAGAATCAAAAACAGGATGTACTTGGCATTTAAACTCATATATTCTTAACTCACTCGCTATCAAATCCATTTTACCAAATAAAGACAATAACACCAGGATTAAAGTCTGGGTGCTGTTGTTTAGGGGCAAAAAACTAAATTAAATCTTCAAGGTAGCCTAATACACCCATAGATTTTTTTTTTCTGAAACAGCTCTTTGAGTGGAAAAGAGGCAGACACTCCAATAGGAGACACTGAGACAGGGACACACTGACTTTTGGAGGTACCTTATTTCTTCCAGACCATGAGAATCAATGTAGGAAAATATACCTTTTTCTTTCAACAAGCAATGCCCTAAGTCAGGGGTTGGCAAACATTTTCTGTAATGGGCCAGATAGCAAATATATTGCATTTGGTGGGCCATACAGTCTCTCTTGCCAGTACCACACACAGCTCTACCATTGTCAGGTGAAAGCAGCCATAGACAATATGTAAATGAATGGTGTGACTCTCTTCTAGTATTTATTTTTGGACTCAGAAATTTGAATTTCCTATTATTTTTATGTGCCCGAAAATATTATCCTTCTTTTGATTTTTCTTTCAACCATTAAACGTATAAAAATTTTTAGCTTTTTGGTTGTAGAAAAACAGAGTACTATTTGACTCTTGAGCTATAGTTGCTGACTGCTGCCCTAAATAATAATTTTATTTTAAAATCATATACTATAGATAATGAAATAACATTATATCTACATATATATATTATGCTTACATGTATATAACATTCTAACATTATTTTAGCCAAGGGGATTGTGCCTAAATTACACTTCTGTTTTCAATGAACACAAGCTTGTGAGTACATCCAACTCTGCCCCAATGAAGACTGTGCTCTTTCCACATATGTGATGGAGCCCTAGACAAGCAAAGAGGAATGGGTCACAGTGGTGTTCAGGACTCAACCAAGCCCTACCTTAAGTTTCTATGTATTATGCATGTGTTTTATTTGTAGTTTCATTTACAAATTTTTAATTCATTATACTGACGTGGTACAGTTTCAGAGTCTCCTTACCTCTTTCCTCTCCTATACCCCCTTTCTTTCCCTACTTTGCCAATTTTAGATTTCACAGGACAAAAGGGAACTAGTGGAGTGAGGAGGGTGAGAGATGAAAGGAAAGGATCAAAGTGAGAAACACAGAAAGGGAGTAGTTTTTTACCTGAGTCAGGAAATGATGTGCGATGAGAGGGTGAGCTCTGTTCCTCACAGTTTTCTTTGTTGCTTATCCTCTTCTCCTCACTTCTCCTGCTTTACCTGCAACCTGCTCAGTTGCCCTCTGCCATCCATTTCCTCCCATTTTTTTGCCTTCATCTAATTTCCTCCTTCTCTCTGAACTTCTTACTTGATTCTCTCATTCCCATTTTTTTCCTTTACTGTTTGTTTGCTGGCACTAACCTTGGGATCACCTGCTTGAATGTGTCACTACGACTTGCCTTTCACCCTTCTCTGCTTCCAGCCACAGCAGGCAATTCCCCTTAGGCCACACCCTCAGCCTTGTGGTGTGAACTGGTCCTGTCCTGCAGGAGCAGGCTCTCCAGTCCAGGCCTCCTGCTCGCGGAAGCACATGGCTGCAGCACGAACCTCCCACCCCAGTCCACCCCCAGGGCATTCACAGAAAGAAATGATACAACTGTGCTTGTACCTTTATAAGGCAGATAACTATTCTGGCTCCACTAGTTTGCTTTTTTAAGTACAAAATTTAGCTTTTGTTACCCTTTTCCACATACTTTATTGATTTGTCTCAAATTGAAGAGCTGGCATACTCTGACAGTACCATGTTAGAACTCAAATTGATGAATTCAGGTATACTATTTTTTTCTAATAAATGAACTCAGTAATGAGAAGAATTAAAAGTTATCTCATTATAAAAGTTATTAGGCCTTAAATGATAATGTTGGCTGTTAAGAATTTAGAGTATACATATGAGCAAACATAACTCAAAAATCGCTGCAAACTCTGTTTCTCAGATATAACCACTGATGTACATTTTGGTGTGTAATCTCTCAGAATTTGATATAAACCTAAACATAGATAAGATTATACATGTCTATCAGTCATAATTTGGTCAAAGAAGTAGAACCTTTTGCAGATATATGTGAAATAAGAGATTTGACCTTTCTTAGTCATGGAGCTGGTTAAACACTCTGAGGGCGTCCTCTTTGTGTCTCGTGCTGGAGTATAAAGACCTTATCAAGCTAGATGAGATTTCTGAACCTTAATGTCCTCATTTGTAAAATGGCTATAATAACCTAGTAAAGTTGTGTAAGTATTAATGTCAGTATTAAGTGAAATAATGTAAGAAACATGCTTTTCACCATTTCTCACTTCCAGGAGGAGCTAAGTAAATTTTAGCAATGATTATTATTAATAAGTATGGTTATCACATTTTTGGGCACTGAAACTTCCTAGCTATGGATGAGTTATGCAGGTGTTTTGAGGCTTGGTTTCATTACCTATACAATGGAGTCATTAATACTTACTTCAAACTGCTGTTGTAAGAATTGAATCAGAAAGTAAAGCTAAAAATACCTGAGACAAAGTCCTGCACAATGAGAATACTAAGTGTACGTTTATGATTCTTATGCTAAGATTGCTTTGACATTCATAAGCATCCATGCCATGCCATTATTGAGTTTATTGTCATTTAAGTCTTTGAAGTTTCTTTTACCTGCATGGTGAAATAACTCCTGCCATCTTATACTTGAAAAATTCTGTTTATCCAGCTCAGTGTAGGACTTCACATTTATATTTCTCCTTTTCTATTGAAATAACTTTCTGTCTCATACTTCAGAATGCCCAGATTTCTTTCAAACTTGATCCTGGATCTAACATATTATTCTTAGTTTTTCATGCTTCCTACCAATTCATTTGAGATATTAGGCTGGGCCCTGTGAAACTGCTGTTTTTGTAGGTCAAATAGCCATTTGTATATTGACAGTTGTATATAATTCAACCTAATATTTATTACAAAGTTGGATAGACTGGAACCAAGGACATGACTGTGAACTTACTTTTTGTTGGCAGCCTTGACTTTTTCGGGTCATGAATCTCTGAGAATCTTATGAGAGGTATTTATTCCTTCCCTGGTAATATGCACACACATGCACACACACTACTTCATACTATCTTTTTTATTGCGTTGGATATTCATTTTCTTTGTAGAGACAGAATATAAAATGTGTTTTCCTTTAAAAAGCCACTCATTCTCAATTTAATGTGAAAAATTTACTTGCTTTAAAAATTATAACAAGGTAAATTGTGCATATAAGCAAAATGTAAATTGTAATCATGGTAAATTTTAAATTTAAATAAGAACACAGCTAATTATTGGCTCCAATAAGAAGTGAATACTGTGGAATGAACTTATGTGGCTCTGTGAAAAATCATCTTTTATTAATCAATTTTGAGTTTTCATTCCTCTACCTAAAATATTGGAAATACTGACCGACAAATGTCTGTAACACTAACACAAATCAGAATGCCTGTTACTTATTTTGCTAGATTAGAATAGATTTATTTCAAGGAGCAGCAAAATTTCCAGTCTTCAGGTAGAATTTATATTATATCACATCCTTTGCTCTCACGTCAAGGAGGTAAACTTTCATAAGTCCTGCAAGTCAGCAAAGTAAGGACTATAAATCCACATCTCATTTTCAGGGCATTTAAGAAGAAAATAACCTAGAAAATTCTGTGGTGTTTCCAGGTGTCTGTAAATTTCAGTTTGCTTAAAAATTGACAGGGCTTTGCTGCTTTTCTTTTCCTGTGGAAAGTCATCTTTATTATATTTCAATCTAACTTTTTCCATTGGTGACTACATGTCTTGTTTTATTTAAGTTTCTGAAATATTGCAAGGATTTACATATGTTAAAAATTTTTTCAAGTACAGTTTACATTCAATATTATTTTTATTAGTTTCAGGTGTACATCATAGTGGTTAGATAATCATATATTTTACGAAGTGATTTCCCTGATATTTCCAGTATCCACTATATATTACAATACATTATTACAATATTATTGATTATATTCCCTATGCTGTACTTTACATTCCCATGACTATTTTGTAGCTACTAATCTGTACCTCTTTATCCCTTCAGCTTTTTTATCCAGTCCCCCATCACCTCTCCCCTCTCATAACCATTAGTTTGTTCTCTGTATGAGTCTGTTTCAATTTGTTTCTTCATTTATTTTGTTTTTTAGATTCCACATATAATTGAAGTCATATGGTATTTGCTTTTCTTTGTCTGACTTATTTACTTGGCATAATATCCTCTAGGTCCACCCATGCTGTCGCAAATGTGAATTTTACTCTTTCTTAGGGCTGAGTAATATTCCATTGTATATATGTACCACCACCTTTTTATATACTCATCTACTGATGGGAACTTGGATTGATTTTATACCTTGGCTGTTGTAAGTAACACTGCAATGAACATAGGGTTGCATATATTCTTTCAAAGTAGTGTTTCAGGTTTTTTCACATATATACCCAGAAGTGGGCTTGCTGAGTAGTAAGGCAGTTCCATTTTTAATTGGAATGCCCCAGTCTGCATTCCCACCAACAGTGCATAGGGGCTCCTTTTCCCCACAACATCACCAACATTTGGTTTTTGTTGATTTATTGATGTTAGCCATTGTGACAAATATGAGGTTATATCTCATTGTGGTTTTAATATGCATTTATCTGATGACTAGTGATGTTGAGCATCTTTTCATATGTCCATTGGCCTTCCATATGTCATCTTTGGAGAACTGTCTATTCAGGTCTTCTGCCCATTTTTCAGTTGAGTTGTTTGTTTGTTTTCTGGTATTGAGATTTGTAAGTACTTTATAAATCTTGGATATTAACTCCATATCAGGTGTATCATTGACAAATATCTTCTTCCATTCATTAGGTTGTCTTGTAATTTTCTTGATGGTTTCCTTTGCTGTGTAAAAGCTTTTTAGTTTGATGTAGTCCCACTGGTTTTCTTTTGATTTCAGCCTATAGATTCACTTTCTTAAGCAAAGGAGAATTTTCAGAATTGATTGTCTCCCATCTTTTGTCCCACAATGTCTGTTTGGTCAAAATATCTCATAGTTTTAACACAGTATCTATATGCTGATCGTAGGGCTTTATTATAAGTTCTATATATTTCCTGTGGCCAAAAAATTGTCAAATGAGCCAATTCATAATGCCAAATGGTTCTATGTGTAGATTTCTTCTATCAAATAAAAAAAATATGGTGGCTGGGTGGGGGTTGAGGGGCCTGTCAAAAGTTAATCAAGTTTGTATTAAAAATCCCTTTTCTCTGCATCATATGAAAGAAGTCCATATTCTGCTCTTCTATCCTGATGACACTTCTTGGCAAAATGATTTAAATTCTCAAGTATGATGATGTGAATCACTTTCACAACAGTAGCCAAATATTTCAGGCTGTTAATAAAGTCTCCAACATTAATGCATCCTGATTAACAACACCAGGTTAATAATTATAGTTTAAATTTATTTTACCATTTTTTCAATCCATCTTTTAAGTATTGCCTAAAGATCCTCAAGGGTAAGTATCATACAGAAAGGGTATTTATTTGTTATTATTTTTTGCTTCTCATAGGGAAAAAACAGGAGCATCACTTACCACTTACCTTTTCATGCCACAAGAATGATATAATTATTACATATTTTATTATATTCCTAGTACTCAAAAGATAAATACCAACAACCATATTCCAAATAAAAATTTCTAATTGATAAAACATAATCATATTTTATTTTTAATAACAAATTAGTTTGCAAATTTTAATAACAAATTAGTTTGCAAAACATAATCATAATCATACTTTGTTTCTAATAACAAATTAGTTTGCAAATTCTTGCATTAACTGTATTATTATTATAAACCATCATGATTATTGGTTAAGATAACTATAATAATTTTGTTCAAAATTTATTCTTTAAATGCTCACAATAAATGACAAAACCAATCCCACAGTTGGCTAAATCTTCACCAAAATGTATCTTTTTCTATTCTATATTCATTTTTTATTTATGATTCCAACTTATATTGTGATTATATATCTTATTCCAAATTCTTTCCCATGGGCCAAGCTAATCTCAATACAGTTATTATTTCCATCTGGTTCTTACTTTTATTTGACATTTCTCATTGTACAATTTAACCTCTTCCAAGGCTTTTTTCTCATATTTGCTCAAATGTATTGTTACATCCCTTCTAACCATTCCCAATAGGGTATTTGATGTATAGCATAGCACTATTAATTACTTTCCCATTAATAGATCTGTTTCTGTCTAAAAAGATTCTCCTAGTCTACATTCCTAATGATGAATCTTACTATAAATTGTCTGAGTTACATAAGATAGTATTTGTTAGAATCTAAAATTTAATTTTTTAATATATTTTTA